TTAATAAATATTTTTGAAACTTCAAAACAAATGCCCCTCAACAAGTTATGTAAATAAAAATTATTTTTATTAAATAAAAGTATTTAACAAGATTTCATCTAAGAAAAAAATTTTAAATTCTCATTCATATAAATTATTAAATTTAAATTTAAAATTTACATTTAAAAAATAAAAAAATCAGTTTAACTCTATTGAAAATGAAACAGAGGAATAATAATTTAAATATTAAATAGATAAAAAAATACAGATGAAAATAATAGAAGAAATTAAAAAAATAAAATAAACCCACCATATGGACAGCAATTCGAAGATGGCTCCTTTGTTTCCATCTCCTCCAGAGCGCCCCGTCGATTCAGCGCTCCTCCTCCTCTCCACCACACCTCCTTCTCTATCTCCTCTCAAGTAAATACCCGATCTCGTCTTTCCGTTTTGATTTCTGTGTCCGATCCTGATTTCGCCTCTTTGTGCAAGTTGAATTCCAGTGCCGAGACATCAAAGGACAAAAAGAACAGTGAAGAGGGCTTGAGCGTGGCTTCTATTGGATCAAAATCATCCTCTTCGTATCTCACCAGTGAAACTAGCTGAGCTTTGTGGCCGTTGAAACTAGCTGCCATGAACTCATGAAACTCAAGGTCGTGGCATTGTCTGCATGTAATTTCTACTACTCGTTGCTTATTAATCTAGTTGCTGATTTAGTTCAAATTTGATGAATATCTCAACGAACTGAGTGATCTAAGCTTTAAATTTAGAAATAATCTAATTGGATTTGTGTTTGGCTCCTGTAAGGGTAAGCCCAGAGCTTCCCGCTAGAACAGCTACACGATAGTTATGATGGACACCCTTGTATCTAGATATATCTCAATCTCCCGGTCCCGAAATAACTGCTTGGAGATACATATCAAATCCCGGATATTTTACTTGGAATCTTAATTGGCATACCGCGTGGATTCTGCATTGGAACAGATAAATACCCCTTTAGGGCCACGCAAAAAGGTGATAAAAAACCAACCCTAAGCTCCTTGTTTCTCCGTTCCAAAGGTAACCTCGATTATTGCTGACTTAAGCATCGGAGTGTCTACCCCGAGGATCCACCTCGGGGCTTTGCAGGTTAATCCAGAGTGCAGATACGGACTGAAGAAGGACTTCCGGTTTGGTGCAGTTACATTTTGGCGCCGTCTGTGGGAACC